TTTGGTAGTGATTGTAATTCGCGTGTTAAAACTGGGGTTTCTTAAACTATATAAATTAGGAGAATAAACGAAATGTTTTGGGAATCCAGTTAAACTCCTTTGAAAAGAGGTTCTAAGAGAAGAGGACACTTAATGGTACTAATGGTGAGTCCCTAATTGCGTTTTTTGTTTTGTTTTGTTTATATTTTTCCTTTTATCCAGAATAACTTAAGTTTGGTCTGCAAAAGGGTGCCAGAACCTAATTGCAATCTGTACTTTGCATGGGCAGACTCAGGAAAAAACCAGACCCTCTCCTACTCAGATGTCTTGTGTTTATTGATCAAACATTGGTATATGAAAAGGATGATTTAAATCAATTTTGCTCTTTACTCAAGATAGCTTTTCTCAGTAGGCTGTTACCAGGAGAAAAGCTGAGAAGACCTTTGTTTACACCTTGTCCCCTTTAGAAGGAATCCTCTGCAACTATTTTTGAAGACCCCTCACTCTGCTTCTACAACATTTCATGTTCGTTGAAAATGTGGAGAGAGTCTGTTCAGGAACTGGAATTCTTTAGTGACTGGATATTACAATTCTAAGTTAATTTGAGGAGTTACCTCTCTCTCTGGTGGACAGAATATTCACCACTGTAGTGTAATGGACCCAAGTTACAAAAGTATTAGAGGAGAAGGGAAAGAGATGCACTCAGTGCATCAAGTCATACTTGAGTCACACCTATTCTTACAGTTACTTGGGAGGCTAATGTGGGAGGATTGTTTGAGCCCAGGAATTGGAGGCCAGCCTGGACAGCATAGACCAGTCACCAAAAAAATAAAAACTTCAGATTCTTATGCCCTACTTCAGTAGGTCTGAAGAGCTATCTGGGCATTTGTAGTATTGATTTATTTATTTCATTAGTGGGGATGTTCCTCAGGGCCTCATGAATGCCTAGGCAAGGATGCCTAGGCAACTCAGCTGCTGAGCTACATCCCCAACTCTATTTAAAAATATATATATTTTTTTTTAGTTATAAACGGACACAATACCTTTATTTGTTTATCTTTTATGTGGTGGTGAGGATTGAACCCAGTGCCTCACACATGTTAGGCGAGCATGCTACCATTCAGCCGTAGCCCCCAGCCCCCCCACCCCGTTTAAGTAGTATTAATAATGATACTGAGGATTGAACCCCAGTAGTTTTATCACTAAGCCATATCTCCAGGTGTTTTTATTTTTTTAATTATTTTACTTTATTGTTATTTTTGTGCCAGGGATTGAACTCAAGGGCACTTAACCACTAAGCCACATGCCCAGCCCTTTTAATTTTTTTTTTTTTTGAGACAGGTCTCCACATTGCTTACTGCCTTGCTGAGTTGCTGAGGCTGGCTTCAAACCTGCGATCAGCCTCCTTCCTAGGCCTCCCAAGCCACTGGAATTACAGGCGTGAGCCACCCCTCCATGGCTTATTTTTTACTTTGACATAGGTTCTCGCTAAATTGCTGAGGCTGGCCTCAAACTTGCATTCTTCCTACCCCAGCCTCCTGAGTCACTAGGATTAGAGGCATGCACCATCATGATCTACTTTTTAAACTGAACTATTTTGAACTAGTGGTTTACTGAGTGTTTGCCATATGCTGAATTGCTTTTTCCCTCCAGTTTATTTATTTACTTATTATTCATTTTCCCCTCTTCTTTAGAATATCCTGTGGTACCCTTGTGAAATCACTACAAAACCCTAGGTTACATTTGGGGAACTGTGGCCTTAAGCTTTTAGACATTTACCTCTATTCAAATACACATAATAATTTCCCTTTTTAACAAAAATGGGTTCATACATATTATTTAGCAACTTGACTCCTCCTCCCCTCCCCTTGTACTGGGAATTGAACCCAGGGGTACTCTAGTAACTGAACTATATCTTCAGCTCTTTTTTTTTTTTTTTGAGACAGAGTCTTGCTAAATTACTGAGGGTCTCAATAAGTTGCTAAGGCTGGCCTCAGCTTATGATCCTACTACCTTAGCTTCTTGAGAGCTGGAATTTCAGGTGTGTGCCACCACACTTGGCATCCCTTTGTATTCTTTGACATAGCATCTTGCTTAATTCCCCAAGACTTTTTTTTTTTTTTTTTTTTAACAATATGATATGTTAAGGATGGTGAATTGGTTGGACATATATGTGTAATTCCTGCACCAGCCTGAAAATGCCATTGAAACAATCTGCCCTAGATTGACAAAGAACAAAGGAAGTATGGATAACAGTTGTAGAAGCTGGAAAGCAGGAAAAAAAAATTGGTGGTAATATTTTAGTAGCCTTGAGAATGCTGAATCCTAAACTAGCAGAGGTAGCCAGAATCCTCTTTTTTTTTTGGTACCAGGGATTGAATCCAGAGGTGCTTAACCACTGAGCCACATCCCCAGTCCTATTTTATTTTTTATTTTGAGACAGTGTCTTGCCAAGTTGCTGTCAGCCTCAGCCTCCTAAGCTCTTGGTATTACAGGTATGCTCCACTGCACCCGTCCAGAAAGCCTTCTAAGTTTCAGGATTAGCCATGTTATGTACTAATAAAGAACTGATTTTATTTTATTTTTGAGATAGGGTCTCACTATGCTTCCCAGGCTGGTCTCAAGCTCCTGGGCTCAAGTCATACTCCCCCCCGTCTCCCAAGTGCTGAACTACAGGCATGTGCCACCACACCCAGTTTGTGTACCCCTACCCTGGTGCTTCTGGGAGTCTAACCCAGGGCCTTCTGTGTATAGGTAAGTGCTCTGTATCCCCATTCCTCACGTACTGTTTAAGTGGAGGTAGAAGTGGGACAAAGTATATAAGGAGTTACATGAAGAACTTTTTAAGAAAAATTTTCCAGATCTGACCTTTTTTTCCTCTCCCAGTACACATTAATAAGGTTAGCAGACATGAATTATCTGAAGTGGCGAAGGGTTATTATTTGGAGTGGCAGATACCATGCATAGTTGTGAGGTATAGTGCTTTATAAAGGAACAGTGTACAAATTTATAAACTAAATATGGGAAACTATTTCGTGAGTTAATTTCTAGAATCTTGCCCCTTTTATATTTTAAATTTAATTTTTTTTTTTTTGGTAGTGGGGATTGAACTTAGGGATGCTTTGCCTCTAAGCTTCACCCTCTTATCTTTTTTTTGAGACTGAAACTCACTGAATTGTTTTTTAAAACTTTGCTGAGTTGTACAGGCTGACCTCAGACTTGCCGTCCTCCTGTCTGAGTCTCCTGAGTCACTGGCAGTATAGGTAGGCATCTTAACAGCTGGCTTCTATACTTAATCTTTTTCTGAAACTCTTATTTGGATTTTTTTCTTTTTGTTTTTGGTACTGGGTATTGAACCCAGGAACACTCAACCTCTAATCCAAATCCCCTACCTTTTTTAAAATTTTATTTAGAGAGTGGGTCTCCCTGAGTGCTTAGTACCTCACTAAGTTGCTGGCCTGGCTCTAAACTTGGCATTTCTCCTGCCTCAGCCTCCAGAGCCACTGGGATTACAGGCGTGCACTACCACACTTGGCCTTATTTGGATATGTCGTCTAATAGCATGGTCTATTAATTTTCTCATCTTTCTGTGTTATTTTCACTCTGTTGTCTTTTGGTACTTTCTGGGAGATTTCTTCAATTTTAAATATTTGCTTTTTTAAAAACTTCAGACTTTGAAATAACTTCAAACTTTCAAAATCAGTTGCAAAGCAGGTCATTTTGGCACATGTCTGTAATTCCAGCGATTTAGGATGCTGAAATAGGAGAATCTCAAGTTTGAGGCCAGCCTTGGTAATGTAGCAAGACCTTATCTCAGCATAAGAAATATAAAGGACTAGGGGACTAGGGATATAGATCAGTGATAGAGAGCTTGCCCAGCATGTACAAGACCCTGGGTTCAATCCTTGCAGTGCCAAAAAAAAAAAAAAAATGGGGGGTGGGGAGGCTGGGGATGTAGCTTGGTGAAAGAGCATCCCTGGTTTCAATCCTTAGTACCTCAAATATATGTATGTGTGCCAAAAATTTATTTATACATATATATATATATATATATATATATATATATAGTATTATATAACCAGCACATGATCAAAACTATGAAATTGTCTTTTGCTGCAGTCTGGCTGGGCACAACCAGGAGCCACTTGTCAAAAGAAACTAACTTTATTTTTAGAACCACACACGCCAAACAAAACAGCCTCTCAGGAAAAACCCTCAGAGCCTCAACTGCCACCACCGGCTTTCCACAAGCCTCTCTCTCCCCTACAAGCTTCTCTCCACCTCCCACAATCCTCCTGCTCTTGAGGCCGATTGGCTGGGTCATGTGGGCGGAGCCAAAAAAGTCCCCCAATGAGCAGCTCCGTGGTCTGAAAGGGCAGGGAAACAGCCCAATGAGCATCACCGCAGAGGAGCCAATCAGCTAGATGTTGCTGGGGCCTCTGTGAGCCAATCATCAGCCGGCAGCTGGAAGTTTGCTGGCAGCTGGAAGTTTGCTGGGGCCCCTTCGGCTGTGGCTCTCAACATCTCCCCCTCTCTGTTTAAACAACAAGCATGTGGCTTAGGGACCGTGCCTGCCTTAGGTTGTCCAATAGTACATATGGTCCTTAGGTTGGTACCATTGCAATTGGATCTTACCCGTCACTGACTACCGGTCCAGTATACAGCCACACCGGTGGAGAGGTCTTTGTACCGGGGGGGGGGGGGGGGTGAGGTTCTTTGCCTCACCTCTGTTGGCCCCCAGATTTTAGCTGGACGATCATTACAAGCAGAAGGGAGGAAGATATACCAAGCCAATTGATGCCTCCTTTTGGAAAAATTGTACCACCAATGACATCATCAGCAAAAATACCCCAACACTACCACAAGTCGCTGCACCAACAGATAGTTCACAATGCATACAAGTGAGCTCACAATGTGTCCAGGCAAGTTCTGCAAGCAGTTCAGTGATGGCTATTGTAGAAGCTGTAGATTGGTTTTATCTTTGACTTCACCAGCACTGGGATGAAGATAGGAATTCTGGCAATAATGGCTAAAGAAAAAATTATGTAACATTACAGAAGGCACTAAAAGAAAACAATTTTCTTAACAATTTACATTGTCTTCACCGGCACTGGGATGAAGATAGGAATTCTGGCAATAATGGCTAAAGAAAAAATTATGTAACATTACAGAAGGCACTAAAAGAAAACAATTTTCTTAACAATTTACATTATCTTTAAGAGAATTATTAAATATAATGAAAAGGAAAGGTGAAAGTAAACAAACAGATCTGTTAACCTTCTTTTTTGTTTACATATTAAAACAATCCTCAACAGTTGTTTACCCAATTTAAATTAAACCATATAAATCACGTGAAAAAAAATATTTGGATCCATTTTATCATGAGCGCTCATCATATATGATATATGGACATACATACATTCAAACATATAACACAAAACACAAGTGTGCACACATAATATAATACATACAACACATAACATTATAGTAAAGGCCTTATAACTTTTTACAGGTGAAATCTCCATTGCAATGTTTAAAAACTCTATAGTCAAAAAATAGAACTGATCAGCAAAACATTAACCTAGGTCTGTATGAGCTCAAAAAACAAAATAGAACTTCATGATATGGCAAAGGGCAATAATAAAATAGATATTGAAAAAAGCATCCTGGTTCTGTTGCAGATGTAAGAATAGCCAAACTGGAGTTTTGGATATCAGTTGTTATGGATTTGAGCCAAATCATCTTCTTTTTGATCTGTAGAAATCGCTTTAGTTAATCTTTCTGGAATCCAAATCGGCTGCTGTTCTCCCTGTGGAAACACATAAACAGACCCCCGACTCCAGACAATCACTGGGTCAGGACCTTGGTTAATCTCTCTGGAATCCAAATCGGCTGCTGTTCTCCCTGTGGAAACACACAAACAGACCCCCGACTCCAGACAATTACTGGGTCAGGACCTTTCCATTGTCCTGTTAGAATATCCTTCCAAAGTACCTTGGGCTTATGTACATTTTTTGGACACATATGCCTTTCCGCAGCACTAAGTCCTGATGAATCCAAATTTTAAAAGTTTAGAGTAAATAGGGTTATTTTAAGTTTATCTTTGGGGAATATATACCCCTTCCCAATTCCTTCTTTTTGCTTTAATAAGTACATTTTAATAGTTTGATGAGCTCTTTCAACTATGCCTTGTCCCTGTGGATTGTATGGGATTCCTGTTATATGAGTAATGCCAAATGTTGAGCAAAATTGTTTAAAAGAGGTAGAAGTATAACCAGGGGCATTATCTGTTTTTAACTGTTTTGGAACACCCACAGTGGCAAAATTTTGTAAGCAATGAGCTATAACATCTTTAGTTTTTTCTCCGGCATGAAGGGAGCCCATCAAAAATCCGGAAGAAGTATCAACTGTAACATGCAAATATTTTAATTTTCCAAATTCTGGCAAGTGTGTGACGTCCATCTGCCAAATATGGTTAGGTATCAATCCTCCAGGATTGACTCCAAGATTAACTTGTGGTAAAAAGGTCACACAATTTTGACATTGTTTTATTATTCGTCTAGCTTGTTCCTTAGTTATTTTAAAACGCTTTTGTAAAGTATTAGCATTGACATGGAACTTTTTATGAAAATTTATAGCTTCTTCTAGTGTAGAGAAAATATGTATGTCATGTGTAGTTTTATCTGCTAAATCATTGCCCAAACTAAGGGCTCCAGGCAATCCTGTATGTGCCCTGATATGTCCTATAAAGAATGGATCTTTTCTGTCCCAGATTAGACGTTGTATAGTGGAAAGCAAAGAGAAAACAGTAGAAGAAGGGGAAATCCTACCAGCATCTTCAAGAGATACTATAGCATTAACTACATACTATCAGAAAATAAATTAAATACAGAATCTTTAAACATCACAAAAGCTTATAAAACTGCATTAAGCTCTACCTTTTGAGCTGATTGTTTGGGTACTAAAAATGTAAAAGTTTGATCAGGGGTAACTACTGCTGCTGTACCATTATTTGACCCATCAGTGAATATATTTGGAGCATTCATGATAGGTGTTTTTCTTGTCATTTTTGGAAAAATTACAGGATGCAATGACCAAAAAGACAATAAAGGATTAGATGGTAAGTGGTTATCAAATGAAACATTAGATTTGCACATGATTATTGCCCAAGTATTTAACTCATTAGCTAACTCATCAATTTGATTCATAGTATATGGAGTAATCATTTTATTGGGAGAAATTCCAAGCACTCCCTTTGCTGCTTTTATTCCTTTGAGTATTAATTGTCCTACAGCCTCAGGATACCTAGTAAGAATAGTGTTAGGAGAATAAGATAAATGTATCCATAATAATGGACCTTCTTGCCAAAATACTCCTGTAGGAATATTTTTTGTTGGTAGTACAATAAATAATAAAGGCAAACTTATATCAATTCTATCCAAATGCATATTTTCCATATATGTTTCAATGATTTTTAATGCCTTTCTTGCTTCAGGCGTTAACATTCGGGGTGAATTTGGATCTGATGGACCTTTTAGGATATCGAATAAAGGTCCCAACTCTCCTGTTGGTATACCTAAATAAGGCCTTATCCAATTTATGTCTCCTAATAACTTTTGAAAGTCATTAAGTGATTTGAGTTGATCTACTCGTATTTGAATTTTTGGTGGACGGACCATGGTTGAGGATAATAGAACTCCTAAATAATTAATTGGAAAATTTAATTGTACTTTATCTATTGCTATCTCTAGATTATAATTTTTTAATAAGTTTGTAAGTGTGGCATAACATTCTAGCAATGTGTTTTTATCTTTGTGTGCTAATAATACATCATCCATATAGTGAAATATTTGTAGTTCAGGATTTTGATTTCTAAGTGGCTGGATTACTTTGTTAACATAAATTTGACACATAGTTGGGCTGTTAGCCATCCCTTGAGGGAGTACTTTCCATTCATATCTCTGATCAGGACCTTCATGATTCAGTGCAGGGATAGTAAATGCAAAACGTGGACTATCCTCAGGATGAATTGGAATTGAAAAAAAACAATCTTTAATATCTATAACTAAAACATACCAGGTTTTTGGCAAAGCAGACAACTGAGGAATCCCTGATTGAGCAGGTCCCATAATAACCATCTCATTATTAATGGCTCTTAAATCTTGCAATAATCTCCATTTACCAGATTTCTTTTTGATGACAAAAATGGGAGTATTATGGGGAGATATGGAAGGTTGTATATGTCTCGCATGGGGCGAGAATCTAAATTTAAAGAAAGCATAGCCCAATCTACACCTGTGGAGCCTAATCCCTTGGAACCTCTTTCTGCAGTACGACTGGAAAATTTATCATGTAGGCTGGGTATTATTAGTAACTGTGCTATTCTATCTCCTGGTGAAATTACTGATATACCCTTTGGAGAACTGGCTATAATTTTTATTTCACCTTCATAATCGGGATCAATTACCCCAGGACTTATCATAAGTCCTTTTAGAGTAGAAGAGCTGCGTCCCAATAATAAGCCTACTGTTCCTTTGGGAAGAGGTCCTTTCACCCCTGTGGGAATGATTTGAACTCCCATCTCTGGAGTTAGTACTGCTCTGGCGGAGGCGCAGATGTCCAACCCTGCGCTCCCTCTGGTTTGTCTGATGAGGGATCTGATGGACAGTGTGTCCTGGGCACTACCCTGATGGGGTTGCTGGGTTCCTCCAGTGCTCCATTTGTGGTTTTGGGCCCCGGAGCATTAGGCCCCCCTGTCCATTTTTTGGCAATGGAGCCCGATGCCTTTCTCTACAATATCGTGGATTGACACCTGGTCCTTTTTCGTTTTTTGATAATGGAGTACCCTCTATGGTGGTTTGAGAACGGCATTCATTAGCCCAATGTCTCCCTCTACGGCATCGTGGGCAAATACCTGGTATTCTACTCCTTTGATACCTAGTTTTGTTAAACCCTCCTCCAATGGGGCAATTCCTTTTAAAATGTCCTGTTTGTTCACAATTGTAGCATGTTCTTGGCCTGGCATCTAAAGCCTGTTTTACTGCAGCTGCCACAATTTGCCCTTGTTCATTAATGTCTCTGGCATCTAAAGCCTGTTTTACTGAAGCTGCCATGACTTGCTCTTGTTCATTAATGTGTCTACATAATTTAATATATGTGTTTAAATCTTCATGTTTCCATGGTCTAATGATATCTCTGTACCAACGATTCGCTTGCTCATAAGCCAGGTGTTTTAGTAATGGCATTGCTTGTTCTGTATTCCCAAAAACTCTGGTAGCTGTTTGAATAAGCCTATCTACAAATTCAGCATAAGGTTCATTAGCTCCTTGTATTACCTTAGATAATTGACCTTGTAAACCTCCATGTCCTTGTAAAGTCTTCCATGCCTTAATTGCATTTGCAGCAATTTGTGCGTATACGCCAGGATCATATGCAATTTGTTGCTGCTGATCCTCATAAGGTCCCTTTCCTAACATATCTAGATTTCTCTGAGGATATCCAGCTGCTGCATTTCGCCTAGCCGTCTCCTTGCAAAATTCCTCATTGGCAACCTTCCATAACAGGTATTGTCCTCCATTTAGCACAGCTTTACACATATTAGCCCAATCTGCTGGCGTCATGTTCAAGTTGTTAATGGATTCGACCATGCTTACAGTGAAGGGTGCTTGAGGATATAGGTTGTTACAGCCTCTTTTAGCTGCTTCACTGTTTTGAAATTTACAACTTGGTAAAATCGCTGCCCTCCTGCCTCAAATACAGGGCATGTTAATATTTGAGATCTTGTCTCAAGATCCCAACTATCAACTGTGGGGGTTGGGGACCTCCCAGCATATGGAGGTGGCCTTGTTAGTTGGACACTTACGTCCTCTGGTGATAGAAAGGTGTTAGTAGCCGTCTCCTGTTGTAACTTTCCCCCTGATGGCTTTTTCTGTTTTACACTTTCTTCCTCTGTCTGACTAGCTTGAGAGGCCTTCTCTTCTACTTGAATCTTTTCCTCTGTCTGACTAACTTGAGAGACCTTCTCTTTTACTTGAATCAATTTGTCTTCTCCTTCCTCTACCATTGTCTGAACTGAAGGCTTTGGACTAAGCAAACAAGATATGAACGTCCACAATGGCAATGTGCCAACTGGCAGAGTCCCTGGGCTTTTCTTTTCTATTCTTTTTAAATCTTCACCATGATGGTTCCATTGTGATATATTTAACAACTCCTCCTTAAAAAGCCATGGGCTACATTTTTGTATTGTATCAACATATGCCCTGATTGTTCTTGATTTTACTGAGATGCCTCCTTCCTCTAACAATTTACTTAACACTCTTTCAGTTTGTTTTTTACTAATTTCTGATCCCGTATTTCTACTATAATACAACCCAACAAGATGACGCCAAACAAAACCGAGACAGAATGAAATAAAAAGGGAACAACAAAAAGTCATTATAGCCTTTCTATCCTCCTGACATGTGCATCCGTCCTTTCTCCCTATCTGTTCCTCAGACGTAAATAGTTTTTCCTCAGATGTGAGCGGTTTTTCTTCCATCTCACTCATCTCCAGGGACAGGCAACTTAAAACAAAAGTGAAGCAAAATAAAAGAGGAATCTTAAAATGGCTACCCATCCTCTCGCCCTGCCCTCAGGGGCGAGCAGTTTCACTTACCCTCAGTCGCTCCCCGTGCAAGCCACCAAATGCTGCAGTCTGGCTGGGCACAATCAGGAGCTACTTGTCAAAAGAAACTAACTTTATTTTTAGAACCACACACGCCAAACAAAACAGCCTCTCAGGAAAAACCCTCAGAGCCTCAACTGCCACCACCGGCTTTCCACAAGCCTCTCTCTCCCCTACAAGCTTCTCTCCACCTCCCACAATCCTCCTGCTCTTGAGGCCGATTGGCTGGGTCACGTGGGCGGAGCCAAAAAAGTCCCCCAATGAGCAGCTCCGTGGTCTGAAAGGGCAGGGAAACAGCCCAATGAGCATCACCGCAGAGGAGCCAATCAGCTAGATGTTGCTGGGGCCTCTGTGAGCCAATCATCAGCCGGCAGCTGGAAGTTTGCTGGCAGCTGGAAGTTTGCTGGGGCCCCTTCGGCTGTGGCTCTCAACAGTCTTTAGAAAATACTGTTACTCTACAAGCCTTATTCACATTTTGTCTGTTGTCCTATCAGTTTCCATTTCTAGATTAGGACTGAATCTAGGATTGCATATTGCATTGCCATGTAACCTTAGTCTTAGTCTTTTAATCTCTATAGTTTCTCTTTGACTTTAATTGACACCTTTGAAGAGTTTTGGCCAGTCAGTGTCTGTTGTTTCTCATGAATAAATTCAGGATACACATGTTTGACAAGAATACCACAAGAGTGATGTAGTGTCTTATCAAGAGGCATATAATGTCCATATGTCTTCTAACTTTGATCACTTGGTTACAGGGATGTTTGGCAGATTTTTCCATTGAAAGCTATTTTTCTTTTTATAAGACACTATTTAAAGTGTCT